ATGCCAGGGGAATGCGCTACTGCTGAGCCACAGCCTCAGATAATGAAGCTAGTTTTATGTTTGATTTTTAGAAATAATTTTTTTTTTCATTTTCATAATTATCACATTGTACAGCAAGTTTGATCCTATGAATGTTCAAATTACAGAGCTAGACATGATGGGTCATAGGAAGATGTAGCAGATATGGGCTGTTATATAAGCCTCAATTGCTACAATAAGACACATCTGTTATATAACCTGACACAAACCTGCTAATGACTAATTTGGCCACCATGTGTAGTTTATTCCCCAGAGGTTTCCTCATTTGTAAAATGAAGTCTGAATTGGATTTCTAAAATTTCTTCCAGCATTCATATGATAGATAATGGATTCAATTATGATCTAATTAACATGATAATGATTCAATTTTTCAGATGTATTTATTCACTATAAGAAATAATGTAATTTTTAATCTCTGGGCAATAAAAAGTCATTTTTTAAAGCTAAAATTTGGAGAGGAACCTAAATTATTATTACCTATATTGTTTTTCTTCAAAGGTATCAAAATTCTATCCTAGAACTTATACTAGTAATTCTTTGATCATTTCTTTTAATACCTGGGTACCAATTTTGAACCTTATAAATCATTATGGGAATACACATTTTGATAATCTTTTCATTCAAGAGGATTTGCTATATCGTATGCCAAAATTTGAATTATTGCAGAATAGCTCTCATCCAAAATTCTCTCAAAAAAGATCTTTTTTTCCCTAAAGATTCTCTATGTGTAATAAGAATTGTAATGTATTCTGCTGTCACATATAAATAAAAAAACATTAAGTGAAAAAAAAAAAGATTCTCTTTAAAAGGAAACCGGATCATTATACTTTGTTCTTTTAGTGCTACTGAAAGTTGAGAATTTATCCTTTATGGTGAGAATGATTTGTTGCAAATTTTTCTTTCTTTCTCTTTCCTTTCTCTTTCTGCTTTTGCTTTGATAAAAATATTTCCAAGACAGTAACTTTGTCTTTTTTTTTTTGAGGTAAATTATATTGCAACCATAGGTATATGAAAACTTTAACCAGGTGAGATTAATTCAAAGAATATATGTCTAGCTCATGGTGGGTGGAAGCTGAGGTGTTATTTTTTAAAGCAGGAGAGGAATGAGGTTGATCCTAAGGCAGATGGCCAGCTTTCAACAAACTGGAAAGGCTGGTCAGCCCTTTCCTGATTATGTCTTTATCTTCATGGTAATGGTGAGTCAAGGCATTGTTTTCTAAAGTGAATGGTGCAGTTGATCTTTTAACCAATCCTGGAACTGATAAGGTTAACTACAGAAACTTTGGTATCCAGATCTCTGTATCACTAATTCTTTTATCTAAAAGACAGAAAATACTTCTGTAAATATGCCATATCAAAATTCTCCTTAAGTATATCTTCCAAATTCATTTTTGTGTTTGTTTAAAATAGCTTTGCTAACCCACTTGAAATTTGTTTCTGTGAATTAAAAAAATAAGCCCAAATATACTAAATATCATCTGAAAGTGGAATGGTTGATGGGTTTATTTTCATGTTACTCTACATAAACTATTGATTTTTTTTTTTTTTTTTTTGGTAAATCTGCAACATTTAGTCTTAACTTTAATGGAATTTCATGGTCTTTATAAAAATGCTTGTGATACCATGCTGAACAAAATGCATGAGGTTTAAAAATGGAACTCAGATTATATCTATATCCACATATATTAATATATCCACATATATTAATACATACATTATAAAAAATCTTGACTTTTTTATTTACCAATTTGATAAACTATGTCAAAAACCTTAAAATAATCATGCCCTTTGACTCATTAATGCTTTTATTTCCAAGAAGATTTTCTAAAGGAAATGATCACAAATCAAAGATTGAAAAAAGATTAGGGCTATTTATAAAGAGAAACTGGAAACAAATATCAAATGGCATGGGACTGGTGGTATAATTTATCCTATTATGTGTGTATTTTTTAAATAAAATGCTTTGACATATGAACAGTTTACTTTATTCAGTTTAAAACAGGTTGTATTTTTTAAAATCATCTTTTATGTACTTTGGAAGAAGGAGAGCTTAGATAACAAAAATTCCATTAATTGAATCTAAGGACCCTGTTTATAAAGGCGAATAATACTTATTTTTGTAATGTTCTTTGCTCATGTTTGCTTCTACCAGCATCATTTGAATGAGGATCCATCTTCCTGGAAGCTGAAAGGTGTAACATATTTTAATGCTTTTGAAATTATACTCCATACTTGTAAACCCAAAAGGGAGTAAATGTACTTCTTGATTTGAACATTCAGCTTCAGTATATTTTATAACAGAGAATTTAAAATGTTAATTTGTGTTTCATGAAAGTTTTTATGAAGGTCCTAGCTAATAAAAATATTGCTCCAGTGATTTCTTTTAATTGAAGAGTCATCTGGTGAAAATAGTTGACTAATTTGTGTTTTCCATCGGTATATAAATAACAAAGCCCTTATTTTAGGATTAGGAGTTTAGAATCTGTGTTTTTGTGCATGCACACATGCACTGTTGAGATAAACATTGTAGCCTTTTTAAAAATCCCATTTAAGTTGGTTTCAGGATTCATGGCCAGAAACACACAAAGCACTGTTAGAGAAGATACTGATCCTTTGAGTTCTTCATGGCTCCTATTCTGATTTTATTCTTTTTATTCAGGTCACTGAAGTTTCAATACAGAGAAAGATTGCAAAAGGGAAAAATGAGATCTCTTAATTCAAAAATTTATAGATCTCACACAGAGTGTCATTTTCCCCCTTCATGGATATTTTATTCACAACAGCACCATGACATTTGGCTGACATTGATTATTAGGATGAGAAAGTCAGTTCAAGTGGATGTGTATCTGAATGAGTGATTTGAGTGATTGTAGTTCAACTTTGAACATTCGGATCTTTCTTAAGCACATTAATTTGATTAAAAAGCACAGTGAAATTTTAGTTATTTTCAAAAAATCACAGGATTTGAAAGCTCTTATGGGTGCTTCTAAGACTTTAAGTGCATGATTTAATAGTTTTTAGTATATTCATAGCATTGTGTGGTTATCAGCAAAATCTAATTTTGGAACTTTTCACTCCCCCAAAAGAAACATCCCATTTAGCCACTTTTCATTCCCTTTCTTCTATCCTTTCTCAACCTTAGAGAACCACTAACCTATTTTCTTTCTTTCTTTTGTATTAGGGATTGAACCATTTTAATCTATTTTCTATCTGGATAGATTTGCCTATTCTGGACATTTCATGTAAATAATATCATAATAGTCTTTTATGACTAACTTTTTCCACTTACTATAATATTTTCATGTAACACATGTCCATGTTGTAGTATGTATGAATCAATGTTGTATTCCTTTCTGTGCCCAAGAATACTATTGTATGCATGTACAACATTTTGTTATCTGTTCACCAGTTGATGGATAGGTGGATTATTTCTGCTTTTTGGCTATTATAAATAATACTTCTATTAAGAATCATGTACATTTGTTTGCAAGTTTTTGTGTGGACATGTTTTTATTTCTTTTAATACAGACTTAGGAGTAAAGTTGCTGCGTCATATGAAATCTTTGTCGGCTAGGGCTGCCATAACAAAATATCATAAACTGAGTGGCTTAAATAACAGAAATTTATTTTCTCACAGTTCTATAAGCTGGTCCCAGATTAAGCAAGGTTCTATCAGGACTTGGTTTCTTATGAGAGCTCCTTTCCTTCTGTATAGACAACTTGCTTCTTGCCGTGTCCTGACATAAGGGGTCAGAAATAGAGAGTGTATTGGTGTTGGTTTCTCAGCAGGGCACCAGTTCTCTTGGATAAGTGTTTCACTCTTATGATCTTATTTAACTTTAATTACCTCCTTAAGGCCCCATCTCCAAAATAGTCACATATTGGGGAGGGGGTATTAGGCTTTAACCTGTGGATTTTGGAGAAACACAGGTCAATGTAAACATAGTAACTCTCTGCTTAAACTTTTAAGGAACTTCCAGTAGAGTATCACTTTAATTTTTAAGAATCAACAACTTCACTGGACTCAGTGGCGCAAGTCTGTAATCCTAGTGGCTCAGGAGGCTGAGGCCAGGAGGATTGTGAGTCCAAAGCCAGCCTTGGCAACTTAGCCAGACATTCAGCAACTCAGTGAGACCCTGTCTCTAAATAAAATACAAAATAGGACTGGGGATGTGGCTCAGTGTTTAAGTGCCCATTACCAAAAAAAAAGAAAAGAATCGACAACTTCTTCCCGCTTCAGTTTGAAAATGGCATATGTTTAAGACAGAAGTGGAAGGAGAGGAAAGAGAAATGTGAATTCCTTAAACCTTCCTTGATCTTTAGCTCATTTGCTGGGCCCATGTGGTCTGTCTGGTCATCATTCTCCTTGGAAATGGTAGGGGGCTCTTCTGAGAAAGGGACACTATTATGAATTATGCTGGGACTAAGGACAGAAGTTGGGACTGTCTTAGGCAAGTTCAGATGAATGGTCACTCTGTCAACCAACAAGAAGGAAAAACTTTGCCAGACTTAGCTTTCTTCTTATGACAAGGTAGCGTTGCTACGAGTAGGGAGGAGGCATATCAGTTGTGATGTGTGTCCCAGGGATTTTAGCAGTATCTCTACTTTCCATTCTGTTGCCTAGTTCCTACTAAAAAATCCCCCAAAACTTTGAAAGGGGATAGACAATTAGCTAACAATATCTTAATTATTCACATATTTAAAAGTGGTGGATTCTAAATGTGGGGAAAAAAAAGTGATTGAAATTAATCGAGGGGTGACATTAATTTTTCTAATATTTACTTGTGTTAAACATTTTATTTCTTCCAGGGAGCAACAAATCATTTCACCTTTGAAGCATCTTAAACTGAAAAACTTCCAACTGTGCTGAAAAGTTAGAGGCTGGCAAATATTTTTCCTTCCCTCTCATGTGAGAAGAATTGAAGAAATAAAATGGAAGAGGTTTAATGTCAATATCCAGAATGAATGATGATAATTCAGATGATAAAACAGAAGATGAATCGCATTCCTTATTTTTCAGTGATAAAAATGGAAATAGGTATGCATACAACCAAAAATCGCCATCTACCCGAAACTCTTCAACCAGTCATGTGAATTGGAGTTCTCCCAACCTAGAGGACATGGTGGTCGATTATGAAATGGACCCTTCTGTGGACAACGATGAAAGTATTTTTTCAAACTACCAATGTGTTGAAGTACTCGATCACCAAAAGTCAAGTGATTTCATTAGTAAGCGGGTATTGGAAACACATGAAGATCCCACATGTCTGTCTTCTGCACTTATAAATACAGAGAAGCCCAAATACCAGCACAGCGATTGTCATTCCTTAGAAGCAGATCAGGACCAGAGTATTGAGCCATCTCTGCCTTTCATGTGGAAATCTAATGATGATTTGAATTGTTCAGACTATGCTACTGCCTTGGAGTTAAACAAAACCTTTGACACACAAGTGAATAAAGTTAACTGCACTTTTATCACACATCATGTCAGTGAAAAGAGTCGGTCTTTGCACACCTCTGGAAGACCTCAACCAACCTGTTTGAGAAGTGGAAATACATCTTCTGTATCCTGTTCCACTTGGACATCGTCCCATTTTGACAAAATGCATATGAGAGAAATTAATTATAATAAAGAGATCTTTGAAAACCCTCAAGCCACATCATCAGAGGCCTCAAATACAGCATTTTCTGACATGGTAATGCAAACAGATGTTGTTCCAGATATTGGAAATCAGTGTCAGTATTCTTTAGGAAAGGTCACCAGTGAGTACACAGATGGGTCACAGCAAAGACTAGTTGGAGAAAAAGAGATACAAGCACTAACACCAGTTTCCGATGGCATAGAAGTCCCCAATGGGTCTATATTACAAGAGTTCTATTGTTTCTCTAAAGATGAACCAAATAGTAAGACACATTCACAAAGCTCACATGGTGAAAAGGAAATGGGCCAAAATCTAAGAGAAACAGTGTCCGATTGTGTTATTGATGATGAATGCCCTTTACTGGTGCCAGCTTTTGATAAAAATAAAGCCCAAGTGCTGAACTCGGAGCACAACTTCACTGTGACCGATGATCGACAAATTGCTTCCAATGATAAGGATTTGGGAACCCAAAATAATGGTGTAGAACTGATATTAAGTAGCTCACCAGGACAAAAGATGGTTTCATCATTGGAACTGACTTGGGATGCAAGTGATATGATCATTAGCACAAATAACACAGTTTGCATGTCAACGCCCATCCTAGAACGCACAAATGCAAGCTTTACTATTTCGCCTGTTGAAGCAACAGAGGAATATAATAAAATGGAGAAGAGTCATCGAGACCTTAAAAATTTGCCAAAATCCAAGGGGACACCTATGAACATGTCTAAGCCTAGCCTAGGAAAATTAGCCACCAAAACGAATATCTCTGTAGGTAGCAAGGTTAGAAAAACTGAAATTATAAGTTACCCAAGACCAAATTTCAAGAATGTCAAAGCAAAAGTTATGTCTAGACCTGTGTTGCAGTCCAAAGATCCTGCGGTACCAAAGGTCACACCCAAATCTCAGTTGAATAGTGTCTCATCCCCCTCAACAGTGTCTTCCACAAGGCAGTTGACAGTTTTGAGCAAAACACCAAGATCTGACTTGAACTCAGACACAAAAGCAGAAATCCTAATTAACAAGACACACAAGCAGCAGTTTAATAAACTCATTACTGGCCAGGCTGTACATGTTACAACTCATTCTAAAAATGCTTCACACAGGGTTCCAAGAACAACATCTGCCATGAAATCCAATCAGGAAGATGTTGACAAAGCAAGTTCTTGTAATGCAGCATGTGAGACCCGGTCTGTAGCTGTGCTTTTTGAGAAGATGAAAGGCATACTCCCTGTCGAAATGGAAAGTGCTGAATGTTTGACATATGTCTCCAACATCAATGGGATTAGCCCTGAAAAGAAGGGTGAAAAAGAAAATAGGACACCTATGGAAAAACAAGAGCTAAAAAAGGAAGTTATGAATCAGACTTTTGAATACGGTTCCCTGTTTTTGGTAAGTGAAAGCTTTTGTGTGCTTCAGGGGTGGTGGAAAAAACTGGGGTCTATTAGCAATATTGGTCCACTAATATCCAATAATATGGCATAACGAGGTGTGCAAATATGCTTTCAGGTGTTAATTCTTTGTTTTGTCTGACAATACATACTAGAGTGAGTAGGTCATAAATACAACAAACCTGCATGTTGAAAAAAATCCTCCATTTCAGTATTTTGTATTGAATATCAATGTTCCTTTTGATAGTGTGTTAAAAGAACAAGTTAATTTAATATTTTACTATAATTGGTTATTTGAAGTTAAAATATAACCTGATTACATTAGGTATTTATTTTTCTGAAAATAGTTTATAAACTTTCAGATATCTTGACCTACACTAAGAAATAGCTAGGGAGTGCTAGTAAACATAAGAATAACTCTTGATGTTTTATTGAGGACCTACCTCTGGGGAGTAGACCTCTCTCCTGTGAACAAGGATGTGATTCTTGATTCTGTCTCTGACAAGCTAATGTAACTTTAGGAAAGTAATTTTTGTGGACTCAAAGGTCAAAGGATTGGGCTAGTAGATTTCTAAGGTCTCTTGCATACCTAATGTATTGATTTCTGGTATATGAAATAAATAAAATCCATTTTATTTGTGTTTAGTGAACAAGCAGCATATTTCCTATAGCAACAAATACTTAGGGGGACTAGATCAGTCCATTTAAAAAATAAAAATAAAGAACTCACGTGAAGTTCAAAGATTATTTTTCTATAAACTTGCATATATTTTGGCAACAGTATGAAGCCATTAGTTTTCTGAGTTTTGAAAACACTTTGACAGGCTACTGTTGGGGTTATGTACTTGTCCTCAGGCCTATTTTTGGCTGTGGGGACATGTGTATTTTCAGCCCCATGCAGGCTGTCCTTGGGTGTCTGTCCCTGGGGCCAGGAGTGGAACTGGGTGCAGGGGAGGAAGATGGACATAACACAGACAGCCTGTCCTTTGGAGGGCTCATATGTAAGAGGGATGAAATATGTACTGTGGTCAGGTGCTGATGGGCTGTTTCAGAGGAGTTTTAAGGGTGCATGGGGGCCACAAGGAGGAAATTATAAGGTTATTTTAGGTGATAAGGTTAAGAAAGACTGAAGATACTCTTCAGCTGTGTCAGTTTAGAGATCTGTTAGGAAGAATGGTATACCACAGATTTGTAACAAATGGTTTGTTTAAAAGCTTTTTTTTGTTTTTTTGTTTAAAATAAAGTTTTTTTTAAACATCAGAAATGGGGTTGTAGCCTAGCATGTGTGAGGCTCTAGGTTCAGTTCTCAGCACCACATATAAACAAACAAATAAATAAAAATAAAGGTCCATCGACAACTAAAAATTTTTAAAAATTTATCAAACTGAACATATCATTTATAATTGTAATATTTTGCTAAATTAAATTGCAGTAACATCTTGATTCCAATCTATAATTTTAATTTGATGTTTGTTGATATACATATAAATGGAACACTTATTTCTTCTTGATTTATGGGAGACTTTTATTTCATATCTATCCCTGGCTACCAGAAAAACTGGTGTAAAGTTTCTTTAAATATTTACCTTGAATATAAATTGGTTATATACTTTTGAAGCTAGAGGATTTTTTTTTTCCAGATTTGTGCATTCAGTCTTAACCTTATATTTTCCCCCATGCAGAATGAAAGCATGTTTTTCAGGCCCCTGATGCAGTATTCAAGTAAGGTAATAGGATCCTCAGGTTGAAAGGGATCCCGGTACATCTTGGAGATGAGGTGCTTTTCACCTTCAGAATCCTGCAATTAGGATTCATAATTAGATATGAGTCCTGAAGGACAGTCCTACGTTCTCTGCAGTGCTGGTACTTATGGACTGCTGTAAAGAACTCACTCTGTTTCCATGACCCTGTCTTAAACATGGTGCCCTTTGATTTCATTAGTTCGCCTCTCCAGTATCCACATGTCTGGAAGGGAAGGTGCTTGGATCTGAAAGCTGATTGGGTGACTCTGGCTGTGTACTTTAGTCACCTGCAGTGTTCGTGGGTGACTTCAGCACTCTCCAAGGGCTCTGCTTGCCCAGGGTCTGTGAAGAGAGTCCTGGAGGGATGTTAATTTTCAGTATGCTCTGTGGGCCAAATTAGTTGACTCGAGGCTGTCTACAACCTCATAAGCTGTTGGGTGGTCAGGGTTTATCTGAAACTTCAGAAAGGTTCTTATTTGGAAGAGGGAATTTTATTTTGATACAAAGTGTGAAGTGCAGTTTCCCATTGAAGAAGTTATGCAATTGTGATTATGTGTTAGAAGTGGTGAAGTGTCTAAAAGGAAAGGAATTGATATTTATTCAGTGTCTGCTCTGAACCAAGCACTTGGCTCAGTCACCGTGTATGTATGTTATGTCATTTAATTTTCCCAGTAGTGCTCAGGTGCTTCACATACATTGTCATTTATTCTTCCCAGTAACAACTAGGCAATTGTTTAAGAGGTTATTTAAAACTCATAAAGCTGCTAAGTAGAAAAATGGAAATTCAAATTCAGGTCCTCTCACTGTTATATACATCACAGGGCTTTTGTGGAGTGTTGGCTCTGAAAGGCAAGATAAGATTCACTTTTGTAAATTGATGAGAAGTTTGTTTTACTTTTTAGAAGAAAGTTGCTCTGGGGGATTTGGTCAGCCAGCTTTAAAGTAGAGGTAGAAGATAAGAGTGTGTCTGCTACTCTCCCCTGCTTCTCCTGGCCAATTTAGTATTGTTCTCCTATCTCAGAACCTGACCTGCAGCTGTTCCCTTGGGATATTGGTCTATAAGTTAGCACTGAGTTCACCTGGTGTTTGGATCTGACAGCCATCAGCATAGGGCTTTAGTATCTCTATTGGAAATTATCCTTATGATTTACTAAATAAAGAAGGGTCCAAGTGGGAGTATGCAACACTGAATTAAGAGCATGGATTCTGAAGTCGTTTCAAATTCTAGCTCCATCATTCACTGCAAAATGACCTCTCTGCATTGCTCAGTTTTTCTTTATGTGAAGGCAGAACACAGATGGTAGTTTACAGCATTGGCATGTGTCCTCTGAATAAGGCTTGACTCCCATTTCATGAATGTAGAATGGAAACATTTATTAGGTTCCTACTGTGTGCCACATATATGGTGGCAGCTGGTAGGATGTAAAGGACATAGCCCCTGCCCAAACGTAGCACCTAGTGCAGTGGGGAATGTTAAAAAGTAAGTTAGAAGGGCATGTTAAATACAAAGCTGGGAAAATAAATAGATTCCTGTGTTGTAGGAGAGGAAGGAGGGTGTGGTCAGTGGGGAGAATTATCAAGTTTTCTGGAGGAGATGTAGTTGAATCACTGCCAGAATGTAGAAGGCACATATTCTAGGTGGAGGGGATACCATGTATAAAGATGAAGAAATACAAGAAGATATTCTGACTTGGGGGCCTCCAGATAAGTGGGCGTGATGGAGCTGGGGTGCTTGGACATAAGCTGAAGAGCATGGAAGGGGCTACCATATTAGAAGGGGCTTGATGTATCTTAAAAAAAGAGTTGATTTTTTTTTTTCTGGAAGGTAGGGGTAGAAATAGGTCTGACCCTATTTCAATTTTAGAGAGATTGCCCTGGCCGGGGTATGGAAGATGAATGGGAAGCTGGTGAGACCAGAGAGATCCTGAGGACATAGCTTCAGTAATCCTAGTGGGAAACCATGCTGGCTTATTCTAGGGGAGATGGGAAAGAGGGATATAAGAGGTAAGAAAGGAAGCAGCCAGAAGAAGCTTGTATGGTGAATGAGAAGAGACAAGTTCTGAGATGAATGTGTAAAATCAGTTTAATTTTAGAAAGTGCTTCATGTTCTTCAGTAAAATGGAGTGTGATAAAGTATCAATATCATGGGATTACTAAGTGAGTTGATACATGTATTCAGAATTTAGAATGATATTTTGCATAGTATAAGGACTGTTAACACCAACAATAATAGGATTATTGTTAATCAGAGGTACCTGAAGGGTCTAAGTGGGAGGGGCAGATAGGAGTTAAATATAGGATCAAGTCAGAGAGAGTGTTGGCTTGGACATGTGGATTTTGGATGCACCAGTGTGTACGTGGTGGTTGAGACAGCAAGCAGATGAGATCATGTGGGGAGACGATGTGGTGAGAAAAGAGAACAGGACTAAGTCTGGGTCCTGGTGAAGACTAGCACTTAAAGGTACAGAACAGGACCCAGAGAAATAGCCAGAGAACCAGAAGAAAAAGCAGGAAAGAGCTCTGTTGGGGAAACCAAAGAAAGATGGAGTGAGTGGTCAGTATCAGATGCTAGAGAGAGAACTCTCCAGCAAAGGACTGAACACAGTGCTGTGAATTTCGCTTGTGGTATGGGTGATCTTGAGAACAACCTCACTAGTGGGTCCAAAAGCAGATCAGGCTGAAATTAAAAGTCAGCTGTGAAGAGTTTTAATTGCTTCATAGTAAAAATAAGAATTAAATGTTTATCTGGAAAATCTGCTAAGACAGTGTTTCTTTATATAGCTAATAACACATGGAAATTGTATGGAAAAGCTCTGATCTGGATTAAATCTTAATTGATTTTTTTTTCCCTAGGGTTCTTCTTCAAAACCTACCACCACCTCAGGGAGGAACATATCCAAACCTGACTCTTGCAGTTTGAGAAAAACACCCACTCCAAAAGGCAAAGTGGGGCCTGCTGTTTCCTGTTTGAGGCGGAACAGTGACAGTCGGAGCCTCAGTTCTGATCGAACCTTATCTCCTCAGAGGATCAGGCGTGTGTCCACCTCTGGTAAGAATAAAGTAGTTGAGCTCTGCTTATAGCAGTTTATGAATTATTTGAATGTTGAATTAAACTTGACAGAAAGCAGAATGACAGTTTTGGTCACAGCAATAACACCTCTGTCATGAATGCATTTAGCTTTTTTATATATTTATATATTTTCAGTTGTTGATGAACCTTTATTTTATTCATTTATTTATATGTGGTGCTGAGAATTGAACCCAGTGCCTCACATGTGTGAGGCAAGCGCTCTACCACTGAGCCACAATCCCAGCCCACATTTAGCCTTTTGAGGTTCAGCATTATGCTTAGGAAAAATCACAAAACAAGACAATACAGCCCTTATCTTTGAGCATTACAAATCTAGTTGGAGATAGATTCATGTACATAAACTACAAGCTATTGAGAAGGATGCATACATACATGCACTTGGGTGACTGTTGGAAATATGAGTCATTTCATTAACTTTTTTAAAATAAATGGGTTAATATTTAACAGTATTTCCATGTTATAGATTCATCGAGTGTCCTCACCATATAAGAAAGAATACATCTTTCAGTAAAATTCAAGTAGAAAATTACTCTATGTAAATTTATAGGGAGATGAGGGCAACTAAACAGTTGAACTTTTTTCTGGTGTGAACTTTCATCTATGCTGGCTTGTACTTTTGAAGGTGTAGTTTTAAAGCTGTATTGGATGGATGAAATTTGAGAGCTTCAAGAATAGCTATTAAGTGTCTTACTAAATTTGGCAGATGTACAGATTTCTTTGTGTTACAAACCAGAACAGGAAATGGAAAAGTCAAGCCCTGTTTCACAGAGGCTAAAACAGAAAGCCTGCCAGCCATTCTAGTCGACTGATCACGGTCTGCAGGGAACACCCCTTATTTCTGCAGGTACAACGCTGAGCAAATTAAAGGCATGTCAGATAGAAGTAAGTTCCCTTGTAAAAATAGTGACTGCTATTGAATGGTCTTAAAAAGAAACATGCCTCTAAAATCATGTACCCACACATGTGAGAACATTTACAGAAACTAATAAAACCAGCCAAATCCCAGAGGATCTCTTTATTTCACTACAATTGAGGATTTTTAGGTTTCATTTTCCAATCCTCTCATGAGGCTGCTAGTGTGAGAAGGCTATACGGCACAGAAGTGTTTTAAGGGATGTTTATTTAGATTCATGGATTATGTAAAGATTATGAGGTTGGAGAAGCAGACCCATGGAGAGGTATGAGGGGAAGAAGAGGGATTCACCTGGCCCATTTTCATTTCCATCCATAGAAGAGCTGATCAGGAAAGGGGAATCCATCAGCTTGAAGTGTTCATCGTTTGAGAGGAAAACAAAGTGAAGCCAAAGGATATGGGAGAAGCAGTGATCCTTGTTTTTAGGGTATTGCCAGAGTTGGGAGTCAAGGTGTGAGAGAGATCAAAGCTCTTGTTCTCACTGTTGCTGCCTGACAAGGCACACAGTGTTTGCCAGGGTGTGGGGAGTTCCCTTCCTATTTGGATGTCAGGAGAACCTGTGGCTTGGTGGCATGTGGAGCTATGGCCACTGGCACTCTGGCCTGTGGTGAGGAGCCCTGTGTTCTAATATCACTCTGGCACCCATGAGCTGCCATAGACAGTAAGTCATTTACCCTCCTTGACCATCAGCTTTCACATCTGTCGAGTGTAAAGCTTGGGACTCTAGGATCCTGTCAGCTTTTGTAGTCCTATCTTTCTAGGTGCAGTTTGGAGCTCATCTAATTTTCTGAGTCATGGCTGCTACTAGTAGGATTCTCTGAACCACATGATGCTTGAATCCCAGAAAACTTAAGTGCACACACTTTTCAGAAATCGGGGGCTGGGGATGTTGCTTAAGCGGTAGCGTGCTCACCTGGCACACAGGCAGGGCGCTGGGTTCGATCCTCAACACCACATAAAAATAAAAATAAAGATATCGTGTCCACCTAAAACTAAAAAATAAATATTAAAAAAAAAAAAAAGAAATCAGGTCAGTACCCAGGGTATATTTTAAAAGGTAGAATTCTTTTAGGTAGGTGACCATTCCCATTAAACCCTGAAATATTTTTTGAATCCTTTCAGTGTGTGCTACATAATGTCCTGTCTTAGGGAAAAGTGATCTGTATTGTTTTATGAAGGGACAGGGAAAATTACTGAAGCTTTGGTTATCCTGTGTTAATGAGCTTGATAACTAAGTTATTCATTCAAATTTTTAAAATTTAAATGCGATCAGGCACAGTGGTTATATGCCTGTAATCCCAGCTATTGGGAAGGCCAAGGCATGAAGATTCCAAGTTTGAACCCGGGGTTGGCAACTGTCTCATTATGAAAAGGGCTGGGGGTATAGCTCAGTGGTAAAACTTCCCTGGGTTCAATCCCCAGTACCAAGAAAACAAAAATTTTTTAGTCTGAGTTAAATTATAATTTACCTAGTGGTTTTCCTATATATGAAAAAAGAAAATTTTATGTAACTAGAAATGTTATGGATTTGAATTAGAGTTTTATGTTGAGAGGTTAGAAGACTTATACACCAAGTAATCTTATCACCCCAAATTTGTATGTGGAAGCCATGAATTTTAATGGGACTAAGGAAGTGATGAAGATTTAAAGGAAGTCTTAAAGATGAGACCCTGAGCCGATAGGATTGGTGCCCTTATAAGAAGAGGAAAAACACCAGGGCTCCCTCTCTACCCTGTGAGACTTTGTGAAAAGGTGTCCAGCTTCAAGGCAGGAGGAGGGTCCCAACTAGAACCAGATCAGCTGATACCATGAGCTAATAAGACTCCTTAACCTACAGAACCATGAGGAAATAAATTTCTGTCATTTAAAGTACAATAGTTTATGATATTTGTTATGGCTGCCTGAGCAGACTAAGTCAAGGACTAACTTGATTATGCTGTCATGTTTTTAAAACTTATTTGTTTGGATGTTCACAATAAATTGAAAGGTGTTTTTGTGTTGGGGAGAGGAACTGTAATCATCAGAGTTAAAAGTAGAACAGAAGAATCAAGGAACAAAAACAATGCACCTTCAGATCACTGAGAGCCTGTTGCTATTTTCTTATACAATGTAGTGTTTGTGTATTCGAAAATTGAAACCAAACGAATATCCACTGTACTCGTACAAAGTTACTTTGCTGAAAAGGTGAGCAGCAGGAATGTTCCAGCCAGTACAGGGTTTTTAATAAATCCTTTCAGAGAACTAAGTGGAAAACCAGACCTAGAGTTAAAATAGCCATTTTCTTGAAGATTTAGAATGAATGTGAGAAAGAATTATAATTAAACTGAATGGATCTCTTCTGTTTTATTTGTCAAAATGGGAAAATTTATATAAGACTAAGTTAGCTTATAAGAAACCAAATCCAAAGTACTTTGGCTTCTTGGGGGTATGTATTTTTTAACACACTTAGTTAAATAAGTAAGATGAAATAATGATAAAACTTATTTCTATAATGCCAGCAATAGCAGCTCACGCTGTTGAATGTATACCAAGTTCCAGGTTTTGTTTTAATCATTTCACCTATGAATCCGTATAACACTCAGAATAATTTTCTGAGGCCTCCTCCCATGTTATAGATTAGGAAACCACCATGGAGGGTTTTTCTGATGTTATGTAGCTGGGAAGTGGCTGAGGTGGGATTCAGACAAAGTGGTAAACTCTGGAGTCCAAGCTCTCAGCCTTCATATTATTAAAGAAGAACTGTGAGTAGGATCGTGAGTTTCTAAATAAAGAAAGAAAATTCTTGAGCTCAACGGAATGGTTTAGAAACCGTGGTACACTTCAGATCCTTGGCTAAATTTCCATGATATAAATTATTCTCTATGGTTATCAAAAGTGAGTGCTGCTGAGTAAGTAACCTGGATAGGTACAGTCAGGATCGCAGCTTCAGGTAGTACTGGTTCTGAGCAGGTTTCCATTCTAAGAGTGTGTGTTTCCCACTTAATCATGCAGTTGCCTTTTCAGTGACTACCTTGAGCCAGGTAGGATTCCAGAAGTGGTACAGAATGTCCTCCCTGCCCTGTGGGTCTTTCTGTTGCCTGGGGAGACCTCTGCGTGTTCCTGCCTCAGCCACACAAATAGATATGTGAGGGTGTGGCAGAGGCCCCAAGGGAAGGAAGGTCTCATGAAAGAGTTGGCTTTTACTTTCTCCAGAAAAAGAGAAATACAACGGGTAAACTCTTGTTTTATTTCAGTCTGTTGCAGGTTAATAAATTCCTTGCAGGACAGTGGAATATCTGAAACGTGTAATGACCCATCTATTGTTACAGATTTCTCTTTTCTCCTCCTGAGTGGTACAACTTCTTGCTTGGTTTATGCAAACTGATTTTTTTTTAATTAGTGTTAAAGGGAATTTAAAATCATTTTAACTCTTGTTGTATCTAAAACCTTTTTTTAAGTGAGAATATGAGAGGAAGTGAGCAAAATTAGAATTTTCACCTATTTATAGAATTAATTACTAGAAATCATAAATTATCACTTAATAAGTTATTCTAAAAGCTATCTTTAATATATTGCTAATAGATGCATCTATATTTGTATGTAATTAAAACACATTTAGATTATGTCTCTGGATTTTTTTTCTGTAAACATACTGATGGTAGTTAACCTGTTTATGATGTGCCAGGCACTATCCTATGTTCCCTTAAATGCATGAGCTCAGTTAATCCTCACAGCACATGAGGAATAGACACTACGATTACCCCTACTCTACCTGTGAGGCATTTGAGATTTGAAAGCTTAATGAGGTTACACAGTTGATAACTGGTGGAGACAGGGACAGGGCCAGACAGTCTGTCCCTAGAATCTGTGCTCTTAGCCCCTGTTTGCTGTGCATGTGGCAGCCCTGACACACTTACTTCTTCATTATTGCATCTGAATGGATTATTCATTAAAGGGCATTATGTTAACTGTCCAGTGAATGCTTGCTTGTGCCAGGAACGATTCTTAGTGTTGGCAATGAAGAAGTGCACAAGAGAGACAATTTCTTGCCCCTGGGCAGCTTAAG